CCGCTCTTGCCCCCTGTAAGAGCAGCTACTCGATGATGTTTTACCCCCGTGCAAACCCCGTGCGCTCAAATCCCCCACCAAAAGTTCAGAAAGCGGCAGACTAGAGACCTCCGGAGGCAGCGGTGGTTTCTGTGCTTTGCTGAACGCCAGCCAGAAAGAACAGGCGATTTTCTAACTTTAAATGACCCGCAAGCAGCAACCCCCAAGCAGTTCTTCCCTCACTCGCTGGTGATTATCATCACGGGGAAGGGAAGTCAGGGAGAAAAGAAGCTTTTTAAATTTTTTTAGCCTCATACTTGATACAATTTGTTAACATGCTCCTCTGCAATAACGCCTTCCTTCATATTGCAACGCAATAAAATCAGCGCTCACGTTAGAAGTCTCTTTACTTCTGGAAAACATGGTGCCCTTGGTGCCAGGGATATTGAATGCATCTGTATTCCTGACAGCTTTTTCTGTTTTCATTAAGTGAAAGAGGATATTTAGAGGCGAGCTGGAATGGAAGTTGGTTCATAACTCAGAGGAGAGTGAAGGCTGTGGGATGTAGGCTGCTGATTGAGGACTTGGGGTAATTTTATTCCGTTCAAGAAATCCCCGGTTTAAGCGGGGTGCTGTGTCCTGCGGTGCCTCGGCCGGCGCGTCGCCGGCGGGACGAGAGGAGCAGGAGGGACGATGTCCCCGAGCCTGGCTGGTTGTGCAAAACTGGATCCATTTGCATTCAATTGATTGTAAACACAAAACTCTTCTGAATTACTGTTTGGTTTAGCGAGGGGAAAAATGACATGCTTGCCTTAAAATTTGTCATTTCAAAGGGTTTTGCTTGCTTGGTCCTTTCACTGTATCAACAGTGAGTTTTTAATCTGCCCAGTGATGGCATGCTAATAGAAGTAAATAATGCTAAAGCTTGACATGGATTTAAATATTATTTTCAAACTTTTTAAATCCTTAAAGGCTCTGCTGTTGAATATGGATTAGCACAATCTTATTATCCGGATCCGTGTGGGAGCAGTCGCTCTGCAGTTCACAGAGAGACAGAGCCATCTCCCAGCGTCGTCCAGCCAGCCTCGGCCTCCTGCATCCCCGCCAGGAGGCTTCTGCAGCTTTCGGGGACAAAAAAGGGGACAGGTAGGGGATAGGAGAGCAGGACCCCGGCTGGCGTTCCCATGACAAAGTCGTTGGTTTTGTTATTTTTGTTTTGCCACCAAAAGCAAGCTCCATCCCAGGTGACCGCGCGGTTGCACAGCCCCGTTTTGGTCCTGTGCACGTTCGCGGGGAGCGAGTGCACCTTGCACAGTTTGAGTCAGAGAGGAATGCTGTCTCCATACGCAGGCTGAAATAATTTCGTCGAGTATTTGGGAAGGAGTTGCCTGCTGAGATGGATGTGTAATATGCAGCGCAGCGGTGAGTATTTTGAGGGCAGCAGGGAGCTACGCAGATGCATTCACAAAAGTTACCGGGGCTGTAAGATAACCTGATTTCAGGCCATTTGGATAATAAAAGGAGATGCTGAGATGTTTCCAGACTTCAGTTTTTCTTTCGGCATCTGTAGTCATCTTTCCCAGCAAAGAGCCCTAATGGCACGAATCCAGCGTTTCTGTAATTCCCGCAGTCGGGAAAGCCCTGCTAGCCATAACCACGCGGTAGCCTCTGGCACCTCGTCTGTTCTTTGGGTGATTAATCCTGTTATCCCTAATTAGGTGAAACGTCAAAGAAGCAGGATGCTCTCTGAGGATCAATGGGTGCAATTAGGGAAGTTGGAACGGGGCAAGCTCCAACTGAGGGCTTCAAGGAAGGGCGCTCCGTGTTGGGAGAGCATCTCAAAGGACGTGGTCTTCCACTTCTTCGGACTTGTTGAAGGAAGAGCTGTCGATCCGGGGGGTCCCCTTGGGATCCACCTCCAGGTGAATTTGGGAGGGAAAAATAAACATTGAAGCTGGTTTGCGGCAGCTTCCGTGCAAGGTGCAAGCTGCTTGTGCGGATGGCAGGGTTTTTCTCCATCTCTGAAAGGCAAATTAATAAGCCCCGGTGATGTTTGTGTTTGCTTGTTTGCTTTCAGCTCACTGGGTGAACGCTCATCTGATTTGCTTTTTCCCTGTGGAGTTTTTGCCTCCATTTTCTGCAGCCTCCTCTGGGCAAACGCTTTTCCACTATGGGATAAAATGGTCCCTAATTTAAGATGCGTTACAACCCTTTGCTCTTATCCCCATTTATTTTTCTCTTAATGTGCCTACTTTCCAGACTATTTAATGGATCAATTAGGACCCAGAGAAATGATTAATGACATTTTTCAGCTCCAAAACCCATGCGCCGCAATAGTACAGGAGATTCCAGCTGACGGGTGCTACAGGTGCAACTGGGTTATTTATCGACTCTTTGTTGCAAGGAATGGTTATGCAGAAAAACATGTTCACTACTAGCCTCGAAACTGAGAGGAAAAGCCCTGAGGCTCAAGATGGTCTCGTCCTTCTCCATCCCCTCTCGTGCATTGAAAATACCTATAAAGCCGCGCTGTTTCTGTCCCGGTCCCAACACCTGCAATATCCCGAAGCGTCTGGGGCTTATAGGGAATAAACCTTATTTCTAAGGATCAGAAGTCAAGGTGGGTAAAGGGTTAGTAGAAAATACGAAGTTTGTGCTGAAAATGCTCTGATTGCCACCACGCCCCTCCTCGGCATCTGGTCTGCAAATAGCTCCTTGCGGCGGCTTATCGCCAATCCGCGCCCTCGCTGGCATCTTGTTGGTAGCCACCGCAGCGTAGCACTGCAAAGGAAACATCGGGTGAAATCAGAGCAACGTGCTTGAAATCTTGCGCTGATGAAAATGCTTCCCTCACCCTTCTCCTAAAGATTTAAAGCGTGTTTTTTAATTCCCTGACAGCCAGCAGGGAAATGGGAAATAACCTGGGTGGCACCATGCTTGCAGCAATATCTTAATTTTAGAAAGAGCCTGGACCTCTCCACTCTCTTTGCAGTGCTCGTGGTGACGTCCAACTGATCTGCGTCCCGCTGTCAGGGCTGATGTGGGAAGTCGTGAGATGGATGTGGGTAGTTAATGAGTTTAGCAACGAGCCTGTTGCTTTGGCAGAAGTTTTCACAGGATCTTGTCCTCTCTTGTCCTGTGGTCAGGTTTGGAAATTCAGGCGACGGCCTCCCTTGCACGAGAAGACCTCCAGGAAGGGTTTGTATGACTGTAGTGGCCTTAATACTCATATTTTGCAGGTGGTCGGCCTCGTGATGGCTTGGCTGTATTGGCAAAAGCTCAATGAGATCTACTCCAAGCTGGACACCGTTGACTTCAAGATCCTGGAGGTGCGGGATTTCAGCTTCGGGGCGGTGGATCTGAGCGGTGCGGGCTGGTGCTGGTGCTTGCCCAAGGAAGGGGGCTACATTCCCGTCAATGCTGAGGAGGAGGAAGACGAGGAGGAGGAGGAGGAAGGCACCATCTGCCACAGCAATGTGTGAGAAGGTGGAGGACCAAAAGGCAGCTTGGAGCAAAGCTCTTAGGGAGGCGGCGGATGTTGAATGTGGAAATAATGCAATTTATCTTCTCAGGTTCAGGACATGCTTTGGGGGAAACTGTAAAGTAGCACTGGAAGGTTATAAAAAATGCAGTGCACTGTGCGGGCACATGAGCTCCCCGGGGTCCTTTTATTACCTTGGCGTTTTGAAGCGTTTGTACACGTCCTCATTGGGGTTTTGGTTTTGTTGGGTTTTTTTTTTTTACACAATAAATATGACTTCTGTTGCGTTTTGCAAAGTCGCTTCCACGTGCTGCACGCCGGTCGGGCCATCGGGGAGGGAAGTGGCACGGTTGTCATTCCACTTTGGGGTATCTTTATATTTATATTTAGCCCGATCTCCTGAAAAATAGTGGCTTTATGGTGGATCCCCAGAGGTGCTCAGACCCCAGGTGTGCCCAGGCCCCAGAAAGACATAGCTAACGGAAAAAATGGAGCAGCTTGCTCTGCAGAACCTTTCCAAAGGGCTTTTCCAGGAATCAGATCCCCAGGGAAGCACGACTTACCCCTCCTGGAGCAAGATGGATGTTTGGGCAAGGCTTGCACAGGGGGGAAACACCCCTTTCCGAAGGTTTCCAACTCTGCCCTGTGAACTACGGCTTCAGTTTTTATCCCCAGGCGAGGAAAAGGAGAGTGCAGCAATTTTAAAAATGAAGGCGGCTTTATTGTGGCAACGTGCTGCCTCTGGGGATGGCGGTAACTCGCCTCTGCTGGCGACCAACCTCTAAGAACCAGGTAAGGAATTACATTTTATTTTATAATATTTATTTTTAGCACAACAACTTGGTGATTGAGGCAGCAATTCCCTCCCACATCGCTCGGGATATAGGAATTAAATAGCCAGCATGTGTTGCATCCAACCCTGGACCGGTAAATTGACCCACGCTGGGAAACAGGCTCGCAGCAGGAAACCTCAAGCAAGATGAATTGCAAAAATACGAGTGTGTTTTATCAAAAAAAAAAAAACAAAACCACCCCAAAACCACTGAAACCCTTTGCAAAGCTCCCCGGGCTGCTCTGGTGCGGGCTCAGCAATAATCTACCGATGGCAACGCTTCCCCCAGCAGCCGTAAGTCAAAGGCAGAGGAGGGAGCGTAGAGCAGCGACCAAAATCCCGTGGGTACCCCGGGCTGGCTGTGGTTGCTGCATCTATCAAGCAAGAGGAATCGTCTCAAAAGCAAAACGCAAAGATAAAAAAGTCTATTTTTCAAGAGAGCAATATGGCTGGAGCGCAGCTCGGCAAAGGAAACGCTGGGTTTATTAGCGGCGCTTTTTATTAATAAGATTATCTTGGAAGCCGGAGGCTGGGTCTGTTTATTTGGATGCCCCAGCGGAGAAAGGTGCGTGAGAGCTGGTGTGCGACTGCCGGGCTCTGTCTCCCTCTTCTGACTGTTTCCAGGCTTTATTTTTTACCTAAACGAGAAGCAATCCCCAGCACAGGCCTGAAAAAACACTTTTCGAACCCATTTTTTTTCCGCAAATCGCATTGAAAATGGAGCGGTGAACCACAAGAGCTGAGCAGTGGGGTTGTTGAATTTTTTTAAAACAGTATGGTCAAAATAGGGTGGTTTTTTTTTTATTTGCAAGTGGAGAAGGTCAAACCTGCAGCCCAGGGAAATGGGGTGAGCACGGTCATTTAAGGAATAACAGGGTGACTGCCTTCACCCAAGCAGCTCACGGGCTCTGAGGATTTTGCTTTGCTTCCTTCTTCCCCCTCTCTCCAGGACGTGTTTAGTTAAGACCTTAAGAAATACGAGCTGATAAATTCAACCTGCTCTTTGTATTTCCATGTATTTGGAGAAAGAAAGTTAATTGCTATTATTTTTTTCTTTATTACAGACAAGCAGCCACCAACATCTTTACACCAGTTTTGTGGCTGGGCAGAGCTCACCGATGCTGGACCCCGGCACAGGCAGTGTTGAACGGGTTGGGTGTGAGCAGGTTTTCATGCCTGGACCAGCGCTGGTTTTTTGGCAGGCGGTGAGTGATGGGAGACGGGGAGAAGCCGATCCGTGCATCCACTCGGGCACCCGGCTCCCCTGTTCCCACAGACCTGTGGTCTGCAAATGGCTGGGGAAAAAAAGGGAAAGGTAGATTTAATCAAGAGCATAAAATCATAAATGCACTTTGCAAAAGCTTTTTCTCCCTGCTTACAAACATGCCTCATAACTCAAAATAAAGGGGATGCCAGTAATATTCCTTAATTCACCCTAAATTTTGCATCTTGAAATCACTGCTGCCTTGCTCCAGACCTGAGCTGGCTGCACGTGGAAGAGCAACTCTAAGCAAAACAGGAGCTGGGAAGAAAATGGGAGCAGGAGTAAAGATCAAACAGGTTTTGCTTTGCTTCTGCCAAGACTCCGGATCGTGCCGTCAAATAATCTCCCCAGAGGCGAGAGAAAATCCCTGTTATCGGATGACCTTAAAGCACAAAGTCTGATTTCCCATTCCTCGGGTTTTTTTGCCTAACGATGAGGCCACCCGTGACGAAGTGCCGGGCGCTGCTTCGATGCAGATTTATTGATACCCCTGTTAAAAGGCCGAGCGGAGGCGAGCAAGCCAGGCGTTAAATAGAAGCGGACAGCTCAGGAAGCAAAGTGGGCATACTCGTGTGACCGAGAGCTTGGTTGTCATGAAATCAAATTTACAGATGTCCAACACGTTAAAAGCAAGACGTGGAAATTGCAAAATAATTCAGTGTGCGACCCTCACCAATCCCCCTGTCTCCAAACTGTATTTGATGGCCCAGGGGCTGAATCCTGTCATCCCCAGGGGTTTTAGGAGCTTTCTCACTGATGGTGATGCTTCTCTGCACCTCTCCGAAGAATTTCCTTCCATTCCTTAAGATCAGATGTACATGATATTGCACAGAGCAAAAAAATAAAAGCAGTTGCCCTCACAAATCCCTAGCAATCAAGCCAAAAGTGATGCAAAAAACAAAAAAACCCAAACCTCCAAACCAATAACCCCAGAAAATGCAGATTCTGCAAGCTGGGGATGGACAACTTGAATTTTCCTACGTCCCGGTGGTCTGGTATCTAGAGACCATCACTGTGCAAGAGCAGGTCTTCGCTGGCTTGAATGTCCCATCCTCTCCAGAGGTCTGTTTGCATCCCGTGATGCCTCCTAAAGTCAATCAGCGTTGCCCAAAATACATTTTAACCTGGGAGCTGCAGAGCGTTTGGCAGTAGGCGTCAATACGATGGTTGCAAGAGCGGCTTTATCTCGAGGCAGTCTAGGCTCCCGCACCCACCAGCGCCCGTGACTTTACTCCGCGGCCCTGTCCTCTGATTTCTGAGAATTTCTGGGGGGCTCAAGGTGAGTTTATTAATGGTAAAACTTGGTTTTGTGGAGCTGAGAGCTGGTGGGGGTAGTGGGGTTTAACCGGCAAAGGTAACAGCACTCTTCTTTTCCTCCCTTATTTCTAGCGCGCTTACAGTCATGTTTTCCAACAGCTCTAGTCTGCGTCATGCTTGCGTTTGTATGCAAGAATTTGGGGGGAAAAAGCTTTATATGTAAAAAATTAGAGGAAAAAATCCCAGGCTGTATGACTCATAAATTAGCCGTAATCAATCAAGACCCTTCATTTATCAGTGGATCTAACAAAGCGTGGGTTGATTAGAGGGGTTATTTTTGCTGCCCAGCAGAGCTGTGGTAGAGCTCTCACCAGCCAAGCTAGATTGCAAAACAAGCGGCGGATTTCTACCGACGCAGCCGAAAGGCTGCGTATCCCCATCCATCACCTGGGGACCCCGACCTCGCGCTGGTGCTTGTGGGGAAAGCTCTTGTGGGGTTTGTGACGCTTCATCTGTTAGAAGGTACTGGCTCATTTTTAGAGCAAAAACGTGTATGCCTCCACCTGGGTGGGTATTTTGCTGTTTCTCCTGCCAACACCAGCTTCCTGAAATCCTCAGAATGAGCCCCATAATGCTATTCCCAGGAAGCCAAGGCTTGTGGCTGATGCTATCCCTTAATGCGTCCAGGTCTGGGGCACGTTTGCCCATCCAGAGGTGTTTACCCCTAAAATAAATGGGTTCCTGCACCTGTGCAAAAAAATGTTAGATGAATGAGGTCAGAAAAAAAACCCCAAATCCAAAATCTGTTAAATCAAGAGGTGTCTTCAGATAGCAGCTGGGCTAAGGCTGGAGCCCATATCAGTCTTTGCCTTGGGGAAAGGGGTCAGTAATGCGGCAACCCAGGCAGAGCCGACCTGGCCAGCCCGGGACCCTTCCAGCTATTTCGGTGTACACCCCGTTCGCTTTATGTTTTTAATCTATTTGGCTTGAATTGAGATTTTTCTTCCCTAAAATAGATGGATAATGATATGGTATTGCCATGGATGCAAGCAGCTGGAATGGGGGACACGGAGAGGCCGGCACTCCGACTGCTCTCAAAGTGACTTTGGGAGGCATCGACCGGGCTGCCACGAATAGTAACTGTTCTCCCATCCAAGTCAAGTGTGAAAGGCAATCACTGGAGGTCAGATAATTAGGAAATTAATTAGCATCTGTGGCAAAATCCAAAGAAACTCATATAGGGAATAAAACAGCAGGTTTGTGGGAAGATATCTGGAAGCAGCGGCGTGTGTATGGTGTAAAATCTGTGCTTAGGAGATGGGGAAAAATAACCTCTGCCTCTGCAAAATCCCTTTTATCTGTGCAGATCCCCCCCAAAAATTAAACAGGTGCTTAATGCCAGCAAGCAACCCGGTTGCAACAGCTCTGTTAACTAAACTTGTGTCGGTAATCGTGCCGGCAAATCTCTGTAATAACCTCTTACGCTTCACTTATGCCTTCCTTTGAGCAACAGAAATAAGAGACCGGAGACGTAACCCTAGTGAAATTTATCCGGATTTTCTTAAATATGGGGAGAGCAGAGGTGGAGCGCAGGCAGGGCTGGCGCAGAGCAAGGCAGGGCTGAGGGCTCGCCGAGGCAAGACGCGGGCGCTTGTGGGAGGTGCCGGAGGCTCCCCCGCTGCATCCGCAGGGAAGGTTCCGGCTCCCCGGTGCATCCTCACCCCACCCGGGAAGGACCCTGTGATTTCCCTGGGGCCACGCGTGAAGGATTCCCATAGCAGGGAGCACCCGGCGGGCGTGCAAAGAGGCTCTTCTCCTACCCAGCGCCCTTTAAAATCTCTCTGCTTTCTTCTCCCCATGGCTCAGCTCTCTCCGAGCGGCAGGACCATGCTGGAGGATGACGATGGGATGAGCGAGAGGGGGCTCAGCAGCTCGAGGAGGAGATACGATGATGAGGAAGGTGAGCAAAAACTCGGGGATGCCCCAAATGGCGGCGGGCCCTTCCCTGCCGGCTGATGCATCACATCTCCTGGCGCTCAGCTCGGCGCATCCCGCTCACGACGTGGGAAAAGCTCCTGCGCGTGCTTTAAGCCTGGTGGGAAGGCGGCAAATATCTCCCTGGCTTTTTTTTTTTTTCCCCCCCCTACAAGTGAGAAACACCCAGATCTGCTCTTTAAAGCTTTTTTTTCTTCCCTTCCCACCTCTAGATTACCATTCCATCTACATCGGGGTGCCGGTGCCCCGGGGCTACCGGAGGAAGCGGCGTCGGAC